AGAGAACCCTATTCCCAGATGTGATTCCATCCCAGGTATTGTTATTGTTAGCTGCCTTCAAGTCAATCCCAACTCCTGGCGACCCCATGTGTGCAGAGGTGAACTGCTCCGTAGAGTTTTCAAGGCTGTGACCTTTCAGAAGCAGATTACCAGGCCTGTTCTCCAAGGTGTCTCTGTGTGACTTTGAACTCCCAACCTTTCAGCTAGTCCCAGAGCTCCACCCAGGGACTCCTCTTCACAGTATAGGGGTTAGGATTTAAGCATATATTTTGTGGGAGGACACAATTCACTCCATAACAACAACAATCAAGAGCCCTGTGTGGCACAGCCATTAAGCACTCAGCTACTAGCTGAAGGGTTGGCAGTTCCAAGCCACCCAGAGACACCTGGGAAGAAAGTGCTGGTGATATGCTTCCAAAAGGTCACAGCCATTGGAAAACTTATGGGGCGATTCTACTCTGAAACACATGGGGGCGCCATGAGTCAAGAATCGATGGCCATCAACAACCACCACATTGGGTGGAAATTAGAAGTAAGCACTTGGGAGTTTCCGTTTGCAGCAGAAGTGTAAATGTGAACAACAGGTGGCCCCCAAAGGCGCAGGGGAAGGAACAGAGAAGGACGAGGTGGGCAGTTGCTGAAAGCAAGTGTGGAGATGGTGGTTCTTCACTTTCACTCTTCCCCTTGAGCAGCTCAGGCCATAGCCCCACTTGACCACCAGGGAGGCAGGGAACATGGAGAGGGAACATGTACATTTGGAGAGCACACCCAACCACTGACTGCTTGCTGTACCCCTAGGGCCCTACATAATATAAGGCTTCAGCTCTCCCTCCTGCTCCCAGCCCAGTGAAGCTACAGGCTTTTCTTCACTCAGGCTGCTGAGGCTGACAAGCCCAAGGTTGACGAGTAAAAAGGTACAGTCCCGATGTTCAAGTCCATTGAAAGTCCCAAGGTTGGCAGAGCACAGCAGGCTGCTGAACAACAACTCAGTTACATGCAGGGTTCAAGCGTGCCATAAGCTAGAGACGGTTCCCCAAGGCTTTTCCTTATATACAGGAAGCAGACCACGTGCCTAAGGCAGCTACTCAGCTGCTCACAGTAGTTGCCATCAGGGGGTTGATTACCAATCTCATTATGGGGAATACTGCACCCAGCTGCCCAGCCACTCAACCAGACCCAGCCAAGTTGACACACAAACTCAACTACCACACCGAGGTGGTAAATCTTTATCGAAGTAGATTGCCCATCTTCCTTCCACAGAGTGGCTGGTGGCTTTGAACCACCAACCTTCTGTTTAGCAGTCAAATGCCTTAGGCACTATGCCATCAGAACTTCCATTACACAACACAACACAACCACTGCAATGGAGTCGGATTCGACTCATAGTGACCCCTCCTTGGGTTTCCAAGGCAGTGTCACTACGGAAGTAGATTGTCCAACCTTCTTCTAGGGAGTGGCTGGTGGGTTTGAACTGCCAGCCTTCTGGTTAGCAGTCAAATGCCTTAGGCACTATGCCACCAGAGCTCCCAGAGCTCCCATTGTTGTTGTTGTTATGTGCCATCAAGTCGGACCCGACTCATAGCAACCCCTCCTTGGGTTTCTAAGGCAGTATCACTAAGGAAGTAGATTTCCCCATCTTCCTTCCAAGGAGTGGCTAGTGGATTAGCAGTCAAGTGCCTTAGCCACTATGCTACCAGAGCTCCCATAGTAGATGCTAAATTAAGAGTCATTGAATGTCTCCCTACCTGGAGCAAAGAAGAATGAAGAAAATGAAAAAAACAATTAGTCCCAAGGTCTAATGGACCACACAACCCTCAGCCTCCACAGCCCTGAGACCAGAACTAGATGGTGCCCAGCTGCCACGGCCAACCACTCTGAAAGGAATCACAGTAAGAGGTCCCAGGTAGGATGGAAGAAACATGTGGAACAAGAGTCAAAATCATTTAAAAAAAAACACACCAGGCTTACTGCTCTGATGGATAATGGTGGAACCCCTAAGACTTTGATGCTTAGATACCCTTCTGTCCTGGCACTGAACTCACCCCCATGGGACAACTTTCAGCCAAACCACAGGTCTGGAAAGTGAACAGTCACACCAGGGAGGTGTGCACTCCTTAGAACAATTAACCACACGGGACCAGAAGGGCGGCGTTTGCCCAGCAACAAAGCTCAGAAGGCAGGAAGGGATGGACAGAAGGACCAATGGAAACAGGAAACATGGGAGGAAGTGGGAAGAGAGCTGTTTCATAGTGGGGCTTGCAGTCCACGGCAGGAGTCAAAATGGATATGAACTGCTGAATGGAAAACCACTTCGTTCTGTGTGCTATCACCCAAACCACAACACACACACACAAAAGAGAGTTGTTGAAAGAATGAGTGAATGAGTGAGTGAGCACCCAGGAGGACGAGGGTGGAGAACCAAGGAAGGATCTTGAAGGTCACACGCTTGCCTTAGACAACTGAGACCTGAGTTGGGCTTCTCCGGTCCCACCCACCCCACCACTGCATGATGTCATCAGGGAGATGAGGCTGGCAGAAGTCGGAGGGGACTTCCCTAACCCCATGGTGGGACATACCAAAGTCCCTCCCTCCTGCAGGACATCCCCAGAGTGAGGCGGGGCCCGGCAAGTTGGGGCAAGCAGGTGCCTGAACGCTTCCTACAAGTGAGGTTTCCTTCCCCATCTTGCCACCGCTGCCTCCTCTTCCTGTCCTTCCCTGGCCTGGCCTGCCCTCACGTAGTGGATGCTCCGCTGGCTGAGGTCTGTGATGGCAGAGGAGGGCTCGGGCTGCCTGGTGCCCCGCCTGGCCTGGGCGTCCCTCCTGAAGGGCATCTTTCTGCTCTCTCTCATCTGCGGCATGGCCAGCATCATTGTACTCTGCTGCAGCCTCTGTGGCCAGAAACCTCAGACATCACCAGAGGTGAGTCAAGAGGCAGAGTGGGGGAGAGGCAAGTACCTGCCATCTGTCCCACCGAGCCTGGGAACCTCCGGGTGGGGCCTAATGTCAGGAGATGGGGTGGGGAGTGGAGGAGAGAAACAGTGAGGCAGAGAGATGGTAAGCCAGAGAGCAGACTGGCAACCAGATCGAGAGACTTGGGACTGGAGAGGCAAAACCGGCCTGAGATGGACAAGAGGAGACCAGGGAGGGTGGGGAGGGCGGCCTGGCTGGACAGGAGTAGACCAGGCAGCACAAGGCTGTGTGGGGTTGGGGACAGTTGGTCCTGACCCGGAACCCGGAGTGAGGAGATAAAGGGACATCCCAGGCCAGGGGAGGAGGCATGGAGCTCGGAAGGGTGCATTGAACTGTGTGGACTTGGACAATGACTTGTTTCTGGTGTTCCCCCAACAAGATGACTCAGAGGCTGCTGGGAGCTTCACAGAGCTGGGAGGGGGCTTCCAGGGACCTCCTGGAACAGGAAAGACAGCAGATGCTCACTGGGGCACCCTGGACACCCACCACAGTCCCCCATCCCTTGGAGGCTCCTTAGAGAGAGGGGCACATGATGACCATTCAAGCACACGCAGGAGCGAGCATACATGCTCACGCTGCCCCCACACACACCCCTGCTAGATCCAGGAAACTAGGAAGTTCCTTTGAAAGTCTTACTATTCTCTTGACGCTCCCTGCTGCTTCAACCTTACTTCCTCTTTGAGGTCTTTTTTTAAAAAAAAATGTCACACAAGCCCTGTAGGATGAGGGTGGGCAGAGAGAAGAGGTGTCCCGACTGGGGTGGGGGGCACTGAAAACCTCGTTACTTTTGTAACTGTCTTATTTCCTGGTCTTTTCTTCCAGTGGGACATAGCTGAGCTCCTGTTGAATCACACAGGTAACAAGGAGCAGGGCTGTTTGTGTATGAGAGAGAGAGACACATAGACAGAGACAGAGACATAGATAAAGGAAGGAAGAGAGGGGAGGAGGGAGGAGAGAGGAAAGAAGGGAGAAAAATAAAGGGTGGGAAGGGGAGAGAGGCAGAAAGGAAGGGAGAATGGAGGAGAGAGAGGGAGAAGGAGGCAGAGAGAGAAAGAGGAAGGCGGGGAGGGAGGAAGGGACAGAAGGAGACAGTATGTTGCTGGGGGAACATTACCTCACTTTTCACATTTCCTCACATTTTAACCTCTCCCCTGGAAAAGCCAAAAACAACTAAAACAGCTACACCGATAGTAATCCTTTTACAGAGCCCTGGTGTTGCAACAGTTAAGTGTTCGGCTGCTCACCAAGAGCTTGGTGCTTTGAACCCACCAGGAGTTCTGTGGAAGAAAGACCTGGCCATCTACTCCTGTAAAGATTAAACCAAAAACCCACTGCTGTACAGTCACTTCTGACTCACAGCGACCCTACAGGACAGAGTAGAATTGCCCCAGAGGGTTTCCGAGGCTGTCAGTCTTTATGGAAGCAAAGCCCAAATCAAACCCACTGCCGTCCAGTCAATTCCAACTCAGCACCCCTTGGAAGGAAGATGGGGCAATCTACTTCCATAGTGATACTGCCTCGGAAACCCAAGAGGGGTCGCTGTGAGTTGGGTCTGACTCAATGGAACGTAACAACAACAACCCCTAGAGGACAGAGGAGACAAGGCTGTCAATCTTTACTGAAGCGAACTGCCTCATCTTTCTGCCACAGAGCAGCTGGAGAGTTCCAACCACTGACCTTTCAACTAGCAAACAAGCACTTCACCACTGCACTACCAGGGCTCATTTCCTGTAGAGATGACAGCCTAGGGAACCTGTTCTATTCCATCACATGGGGTCACTATGAGTTGGAATCGGCATGATGGCACTACCACCAACAGTAACAATTCCTGCCATTCTTTCATTCATTCAGCATGCATTGAGATGGGCAGTGAGCCAGGCTCTGTTCTAGGTGCAACACGGACAAAAATCCCTGCCCTGTGGAGGAGAGACAGGCAAAGGGTGAGATGTGTAGCACATCACGTATAGTAAACCGTGCGCAGAGTATGTGTTGGAGAAAAACAAAGCAGGGGAGAAGGGTAAGGCATGCCAGGATTGGGGGGCTGCGAATGAAAATGGATTGATCAGAGAAGACCTCCCTGAGACAGAGACATTGGAGCAACGCCCTGCATGAGAGAAAGGAGTGAGCCATTGGGCTGTCTGTGGGAAGAATTCCCTTCCTTCCCAATCTCTCACTATCCCTCTTCCTCTCTGCTTCCAGAGGTCAAAATGCCTGGAAGCTGGAGAGCTGTGGTCATTCCATTTTGTCATAGAGGTCCGCTGTTCCTCTGTCTCTCTCCCCTCCCCTCCTTTGGGTTTCTTACCCTCTACCCTTCAATCTCTATGCCTCTCTCTCTCTCTCTTTCTCCCTCCCCCTCCCTTTAAATCTCTCCCCTCTAACCCTTTCTCTCTCTAATGCCCAGTACCTCTACTCCACTGTTTCTATGATCCCCACTTCCGGCCTCCCTTAGCTGGTCTTTAGATTACTGACCCTCTATCCTGCTGTCTCTATCATCCCCATTTCCGGACTTTTTCTCTTCCTTTCTTTTCTTTCTTTTCCTCCCTCCCTTCCTCTCTCTTCTATTTCTTCCTGTCTCTTTCTCCATTTCCCTCTCTGACCTTTTGGATCTCTGACCAATTCCTCTGTATCCATTATAACCTTATAACCACTTCCTTAGCCCTTTGGATCTCTGACCCTCTATCTCTCATGCCTCTATGACCCCCAGTTCCTGTCTCTTTCTCTGTCTCACTTTCTCACTCTTCCTATCACTCTCGCCCCTTGGATCTCTGACCCTCTGCCCCTTTATCTGTCCGACACCCTATCCCTCTACCCCACTGTCTCTATGCCATCTTGTCCCTCAGTTTCTCTAAACCTTCATCCTTCTGTTCCCCACCTCTCCACCCCCAGGCCTGCAGCAGGACCCCAGGCTGCACTGGCATGGAGGCCCAGCGCTGGGCCGCTCCTTCCTGCGTGGACCCATGCTAGACAATGGACAGCTGCGTGTCCAGCACGATGGCATCTACAGGCTACACATCCAGGTGACACTGGCCAATTGCTCATCCACACGGATGACCGTGCCCCGTGAGGCCACCCTGGCTGTGGGCATCTGTGCCCCCGCCACCCGCCGCGTCAGCCTGCTGCGACGCAACTTCTACCTCAGCTGCACTGTGGCCTCCCAGCGCCTGACGCCCCTGGCACAGGGCGACACTCTCTGCACCAACCTCACTGTGCCATTGCAGGCGTCCCGCAATGCCGATGAGACCTTCTTCGGCATTCAGTGGGTGCACCCCTGACCACCACCCCTGTCTGCAGAGGCCTGGGTGGAAGGAGGAATTTTCCATGTCACCTGATTCATTTCGCCTTAATATAGGACTCAATTATCTAGTGCTGCTATAACAGAAGTATAAATTGAGTTGTATTGTTATGAGTGTTTCTTACTTGTTTTATTATACATGTTTGTATGCATATATGTTTATATATAGGTATGCTTCTCTTCCCAGGAGCTCTGGTGGCGTAGTGCCTAAGGCATTTGACTGCTAACCAGAAGGTTGGTGGTTCAAACCCACCAGCCACTCCATGGAAAGAAGACTAGGCAATCTACTTCTGTAAAGATTTACCACCTCAGAATCCCAAAGGGGGTCGCTATGAGTCAGAATGTACTCAATCGTCGTGACTTTGTTTTTTGGCGGGTTGTGTGTGTGTGCGCTTCTCTTAACATCCATTTGAGCAACATTTGACCTCATCTATGTTTGTGGTCCCATAAAGTTTGTTTTGTTTTGTTTAAAATGAAAGCAAGTCTCTTTTTGTTTATTTTTCCCCCTAATGGTTTTAAAGACTCTTGCAGCACTGGACCATGGTGGGATACAGGCAGAGGCATGGCTCTGGGTGCAGACTCTAGGGCTTTGCCTGGCAGGCAGGTGGCACAGGCTGTGGGACCCAGACAGCTCCTGACGCTCAGGGAAGCAGAATAGCAGAAGGTGCTGGGCATGCTCCACTTCCTGCTCATCTCTTCCTCTCGTTCTCCTTCCACCACCACCCTCTCAGCCACTGACACTGCAGTGCCTGTTCCTCTGGCCTCCACCAGCAGCTCCAGTAGCAGCAGCAGAGGCAAGAAGGACAACTGAAAGCAGGCTCCCATAACATTTCAATAGTGTTCACACAACATCCAAATCATATAACATCCTATTTTACAGAACGTATTATGGGCATAAGCAATGGACAGACAGAAGGATGGAATGATGGATAGGTCAATTGATCTATATATATCCAGTTACCAAAGAGTCAATTCTGACTCACCCCTACTGTCATGGACTGAATTGTGTTCCCCAAATACATGTGTCAACTTGGCTGGGCCATGAGTCTCAGTGTGATTCTCTGTGGTTTGGCAGTTATATAATGATGTAATGTGGGAGCTCTGTAGCATAGTGCCTAAGGCACTTGACTGCTAACTGGAAGGCTAGCGGTTCAAACCCACCAGCCACTCCTCAGAAGGAAGAAGGAGCAATCTACTTCCGTAGTAACTGCCTCGGAAACCCAAGGAGGAGTTGCTATGAGTCCGGGTCCGACTCGATGGCACATAACAACAACAACAATGATGTAATGTGGGAGTTATATAAAGATTCCCCATGATGTAATAAGCCAATCAGTTGTAAAAGGATTAGAGTGGATGCAACACCTTTAATCCCATCACAGGCCTTATCCCATGTAAAAGGATCTTCCCTGGGGTGTGGCCTGCAACACCTTTTATCTTACAAGAGATGAAAGGAGAGAGAAACCAGCAGAGAGGGTGGGACCTACTCCCAACAAGAAAGAAGAGCCAGGAACATAGTGTGTCCTTTGGACCTGAGGTCCCTGCACTTGGAACCTCCTAGAACCAGGAGACACCGAGAAAGAAAGCCTTCCCCTAGAGCCAGCAGTCTGAGTTCAGACTTCTAAATTTGTTTGTTAAAACCATCCACTTGTATTTTTGTTATAGCAGCACCAGGTAACTAAGACAATAACCCTATAGGATAGAGTGGAACTGCCCCATGGAGTTTCTGAGGCTTTACAGGAGTGATTGCCACATCTTTCTCATGCAGAGGGAGCGACTGGTGGGTTTGAACTGCTGACCTTTTAATTGGCAATCTAGTGCTTTAGTCACAGTGCCACCAGTGCTCACATGTATATATAGCAAATATTTTTGTTTTCTTCCCTCCATCATCCCATTCTTTATAAAATAGGAGATGGAAATGGGGCTAGTCCATTCTCAGTTGTATGCATGTTAGTTATATCATGATAGGTCCCGAGCACTTGATTGTACTCATGAGGAATCTGTACCTTGACCAGGAGGCTGTCGTTCAAACAGAACAAGGGGACACTGTTGTTGTTGTTGTTGTTGTTTGCCGTCGAGTCAACCCTGACTCATAGCGACCCCTCCTTGGGTTTCCGAGGCAGTATCACTACAGAAGTAGGATTGCCCAACCTTCCTTCCGAGGAGTGGCTGGTGGGTTTGAACCACCAACCTTCTGGTTAGCAGTCAAGTGCCTTAGGCACTATGCTAGAAGGGATTGAGTCAGGGTTGTATCCTTTCTCCACACTTATTCAATCTATATGCTGAGCAAATAATCCGAGAAGCTGCACTATATGAAGAAAAATGTGGTATCAGGATTGGAGGAAGAATCATTAACAACCTGAGATATGCAGACAATACAACTTTGCTTGCTGAAAGTGAGGATGACTTAAGGCACCTACTGATGAAGGTTGAAGAATACAGTCTGCAGTATGGATTACGTCTCAATATAAAGAAAACAAAAATCCTCACAACTGGACCAATGAGCAGCATCACAATCAATGGAGAGAAGATTGAGGTTGTCAAAGAATTCATGTTGCTTGGTTCTACAATCGATACCAACGGAAGCAGCAGTCAGGACATTAGACGACGTGTAGCATTGGGAAAGTCAACTGCGAAGGAACTGTTTCAAGTGCTGAGGAGCAAGGATATCTCCTTGAGGACTAAGGTGCACCTCACACAAGCCATGATATTTCCAATCGCCTCGTATGCATGTGAGAGCTGGACAATGAATAAGGAAGACTGAAGAAGAGTTGATACTTTTGAGTTGTGGTGCTGGCGAAGAATGCTGAAAGTACCATGGACTGATAAGAGAACTAACAGACCTGTCCTGGAGGAAGTGCAGCCAGAATGCTCCTTGGAAGCAAGAATGGCCAGACTTCGTCTCACCTATTTTGGTCATGTTGTAAGAAGGGACCATTCCCTGTAGAGGGATGTCATGCTTGGTACGGTGGAGGGTCAACGAAAGAGGGGGAGGCCTTCAACGAGATGGATTGACATGGTGGCTGCGATGATGGGCTCAAGTATAGCAGGGATTGTGGGGCTGGCGCGGGATCAGGCAGTATTTCATTCTGCTGTGCATGGGGTCGCTATGAGTCAGAAATGACTCGACGGCACTTAACAACAACAACAACAGGTATTAGTATGACTTTATAATTGTGTTTATTTAGACATTATGTAGGTTTAAGGATATATATATAGGTGCCAAGTTGACAAGGGGTGGAACTTGATGGTTAATGTGTCAGTTTGATTAGGTTATGATTCTCAGTGGTTTGGCAAACATTGGACTGATTGCTCTTCCACAAGTAATATAATGTAATCACCTCCAGGATATGATCTGATATGATCAGCCAATCACTTGTAAGGAGAGTTTCCTCACCGGTGTGGCCTGCACCCAATATATATGGATGTTTGGGCCAAGCTCACTAGCTTTGACTCTTGATCCTGCATCGGACTCATCATCGTCTGACCTCTGGTTCTTGAGACATGAGCCAGCAGCCACCACCCAACCTGCAGATTTTGGGATTCACCAGCTCACACAGACCCATAAGCCAGCAGCCTGCCATCTGACCTGTCAATTTTGGATTCATCAGTCCCTGCAAGCACATGGGTCAGGAGAAGCCTCCAGCTTAATGTCTGACCCACAGATTTGGTCCATGCAAGCCTCCACAACTGTCTATGTGAGCCTTTTCCTTAAGATAAATCTTTATCTGTCTATCTATCTATCTATCTATCTATAGCAATATCTATATCTATGTAACAATATGATACATTGCACAGGTTTTGCTTATCTAGAGAACCCAACCTAAGATATTTATCTTTAATAAATAGATGTTTATTTTCTCACAGTTTAGGAAGATAGAAGTCCAAACTCAGGGTGCCAGCTCTAGGGGAAGGCTTTCTGTCTCTGATAGCTATGAAAGATGGTCCTTGTCCCTTCAGCTTCTGTTTCCTGATTCCTTAGAGATCTCCAGGTGTCTTGGCATCTATCATATCCCATTTCTGCTCTGCTCACTTGCTCGTTTAGTCTCTTTTATATCTCAACAGAGATCAACTCAAGGCAAACCCTACACTAATCCTGTCTCATGAGCATAACAAAGACAACCACTCCTGAATGGGGTTATAGTCACAGGCATAAAGGTTAGGATTTGCAACATGTATTTTTTTTTTTTGGGGGGGGGGGACATAATTCAATCTATACTGTTCTACCCTTTGGTCCACCAAAATTCATGTCCTTTCCACACGCCACATATTCACCCCACCACATCATCCTGAAAGTCTTAAATCAATTTCAAGTCCAAATCTTATCTTCAGAATCATCTAAATCAAATATGGAAGAGACTTTGGCCATATTCCATACTGGGACAACAATCCTCTTCATCTGTGAATGTGTGAAAGCTAGACTACAAGTTCTTTGCTTCACAAGTACAGTGGAGAACAGGCACAAAGACATTTCCATTACAAATGAGAGAAATTGGAGGGAGAGAGGAGATGAGAGGCACCAAGCAAGTCAAAACCCCAGCTGAACAAAGCATTAGCTTTAAAGGTTTGAAAATAATCCTCTGTTCTCTGAGATTATCTAGGCAATGATACAGCCACCAGTTTCTGGGTGTTAGCCACACCCTGCAGATTCTGGGTGAAGGCCTCTTGGCCCTGGACTTCAGGTCTGCTTGCAAGGCTCACTGCAACACCAACTCTGGTTCCCTAGCTTTGGGTAGGCCTATTCTTCTGGTCCATCTGAGTGTCAATCCCACCCCCTTGACCCCAGCAGGCCTCATTCTTCTGCCTTCCTGCCTCTTCCTCCACTTTGGGCAGTGGTCCCATCCCCTGGAACACCTTACTAGCAGCCCCATACTCCAGAACTGAGTTGCTGAAGATGCAACTCTTTGAAACCTATGAGGCTGAACCCCACCCTTTGAGATTCAGGAGACCATGGCCCCACCCTTTGAAACCCAGAAGGCCCTG